AACCAAAACAAGGTTCTGCTTCACTGAATGATAAACAAATGTGCTGTCCAATAATTAACAATGCACCATGAAAGTTGAAACCTTAGTGCCCCATGGCTATAGTATGATATTAATACTAGGACAAACAAAGAACAGTGCAAACATTAAATTTGAATAAGATATCAACTGTTGACAGAAAATGAATGTCGCATGATTATCAGTAAAAGTTGCTTATCGAGTTTCACAATGATTCCCTTTTTGTCTTTCCTTTTAATTTATATAATTTTTTTGGTTCATCGCGAGAAGTCATCTGCGTACACCACCACGCGGTCGCTTGAAAAAGTTCCGATTGGGGGCAGGCGGCCCATGCATGGCCGACCCATACATGTGCATATTATTAGCATTAGGAACCAAAGATTGAGCGGGAGGTTGATACGATTTATTTCGACTGTTCAGCAATGACTTGAGATAATTTTGAGACGGCTGATTAGCGGACTTTGTACTCACTCGGCCCAACCCACTTATATCTGTGGCACTAACCATGGAAGCAAGAGAGTCCACGGACTCGTTCGGCAGTGAGATCCCAGACATCCCGTCGTATGATAAGATGCAAGCGATGGCATACAAGGAGGCCCCAAGATGTTCTGGGAGAACCTTCTTTGGATGCTTTACCTGAACCGGAGAAAAAAAAAATGGTAATAGTCAGTAAATTACATATACCTCCTCGAGGTTTTCACACACGCACACAATGAGGTTTTCCATAATTACGGTTTCTAGAGGATCTTCTCGAACTTTTTCCTCTATTAGCTTAAAAAACAGAAGAAGAAATAATCCTGAAGATCATTTTGTAACAAGATAACCAGAAATTACAATAACTACCGCATTATGTTCGGCACTACCCCCCAATCGTGGCGCACCCTTCCATTTCTCTTATATACTTATTTGTGTTTACCATTTACCACCAGTTGGCTGGGATACAGAACCACAAGAAAGTATTTGTAATTTCAGAAGATAACAAGGCTTTTTTTGTAATCAAACCGAACCTGAAACACATTCATAACTATCCATATTCCGTAATGTGTTCAATGAAGCACAAACAATGCATCCTATATATTACTTGCAACCTATGTGGAGTAAAAAAGTGAATGAAACTTACTGAGCAAAAAACAGAGATACAGATACTAATTCAAAACGAATAGAAAGCTCACTTTAAAGAAAACTGCAGCCAAAAGTCTCTCCCTGAGACAGTAAATCTGGGCCACATCGAGCGCCGTTGACTCCAAAGGCAGCCACCCGTCAACTAACACCTTCACACTATTCCCCGGCAAAGACATAATCCTCTCCCCCTTCTCGACACTCGTCGTGTCCATTCTATCCTCTTCCCAGCTGTCATCCTCACATTCACTCTCCTCCCCACTATCATCCTCCGCGGACCGGCCCACCACAATCTCCGATGCCAGCAACAGCATAGGTAGCGGTCCCACAACGCTGCAGTCCCGAATAAACATCCCGCCATCCCCGCGCGTTATCTCGTCGAAAACAACCAACGGCGGCTCGGCCCCACCTTTCCGGACAGACAGCCTGGCGTTGGTCGAGAACGGGTGCAACCTCACTCTGTTACCATCAGCTGTCTCCACTAACGACCTCCTCCCAGAAAGGACCACCCGCCCAATCATCGGGTACAATCCGGCCACAAGCACCGCGTGAAGTATTCCCGGGTCCCGCGCGTTCAGGCTGCATCGGGAGGCATCCTCCGGGATAAAACCGTGCCGTACTAACTCTCTCTCCAACTGCTTCCGCATTTGGGAAAGCATTCTCATGGTGTTTTGCGAGACAAAGTATCGGGAGCAGAACCTGGACTGTTCGCCCCTGTCCTTGGCGGCCCGCCAGCAGTCGAATGCGGCGATGACCGCCAGCTGGTCGCCGTTACCGCCGAGAAGGGAGGCGAGTTCGGAGCGCGCCGACTGGGCCCGCTTCTTCTCGTCGGGGAGCATAGGTAGGATGAAGGGGTCCTTGTAGTCGGAGGCGCAGGCGAGGGTGAGGGCCGGGTCGAGGCAGTTGAGGAGGATGGCGAGGAAGAGCATCTTGCTGGTGAGGGGGTGGACAGGAAGGGCTCCGAGGCGCTCGCCGAGCTCCGTGAGCTTCTCGTCGTCGGGAGTGAGGGCGCCGATGCCTTGGAGGACGGAAACTGCATTGCGTATCGTCTCATGGACGGGTGGGTCCAGCGTCTTCTGCAGGAACTCGTCTATTTTGCAAGATGGGTTGATGAGTTTCACCTGTTGAGGAAAAAAAAATAATAAATATGATAAAGAAGAAGATTATTACAGTAAACAACTCTTCAGGCTAGGCAGGAAAAAAAAATAATAAATATGATAAAGAAGAAGATTATTACAGTAAACAACTCTTCAGGCTAGGAGGGAAGGAGGGAGGGAGGGAGAGAAAGAAGGGAAAGTCTCAAGTCGCTGATATCTCCTTAGGTTTGTATCTAGTTCAATAAATATCCCCTATAAAGGGTAAAACAATAAAAAATGACGAATCTGTCAAATATGCGGATTTTCAAAATGTTATTAGAGCTTTTCTGTAACTAAGCTGGACTTTCTCAGCTTTTGTATATTTAACCCTGAATTATACGGGAGAGACTAATCAGGTTATTAAAAACCCCAATTTTTTTTTTTTTTTTTCAAAATCTTCTCTTTTGCCTTGGGGTGTTTAGTATCAAGATATAGAAGAGAGCAACGAAAGAGGAGAGTGTATATATCTACTTCATGAAAAGATATTAAGCTCCCAATAACCCATGAAACCATATGATTTTACAAATAGTCTTGCAGAACACATGCAAGTTAGATACCTGCAGACACAGCTCCTCTAGAGGCATCCTCTTGATCTCTGGGACTTGGAAATCTGGCAGTGAAGCCGCCCGAAGTTTTGAAAAGAGGTGATAACAGATACCCGGCTGGCACCTTCCTGCACGCCCCTCCCTCTGCTTCATGTTCGCTTTTGAATTCCAATAAGTCTGAAGAGTCGAGACATTGTTATACGGGTCGTAATTTTTCTCCTTCATCCGCCCGCTGTCCAGGACATAAACAACATCCTCAATGGTGACCGACGTCTCAGCAATATTAGTGGAAAGCACAATTTTTCGGCAGCCGGATGGGGGCCGTTTGAAGACTTTCTTCTGCTCGGACAATGGAACCCTAGAATGAAGAGAGATAATAAGGAATCTAGAAGGATCCTTAAAAAAAGGGCTAGCTTGTAATTTCTCGCGTGTTCTATTTATATCGTCCCAGCCCGGAAGGAAAACCAGAATAGCTCCATCATTCGAGTCAATACAGATTCTCCTGAGAAGTTGCTCAATAAGCACACAATCTATTAATTCGGGGTCTACATTTGATAAGTATTTATCTAATAGGTACTGGTCCTCCTCGGAATTTGTCAACGGTTTCTCCATGTACTTTCTAATAAATTCTTCGGCCTCCCCTTGATTCTCTTGTTTGGCATAATCTAAAGCCATGTTTCCTGCGTTGGATTTGATGCTACAGTCCACCCCGAGAGAGAGAAGCATGCAAATATCACTAACCCGTCCTTTTCCCGCAAATACCATCAATGGTGTCACTCCAGTTTTAGAATGCTGATAATTCAACACTTCTGAATTTCCTTGGGAGGATATTAAATCAAGAAGGGGATCAAATTCGTCACTTGATAGAGCCAAGTCGATGGCCTCATCGAGCGCAACTCGGCATTCATTAGTTATAGAAGTTTCCACACTTATATTGCTTTTTGTGCATGCAAGGGGTTTGGTTTCAGTTGATCTGACCAGGGATAGTACATCCTCCAAGTAAAAAGATTTGACCTGAAAACACATTTTCTCAACATGATTTCGATAGTTCATACTTCATAGAAAGAAATTCATGCACTTCAAAAAGACAAAAGGAAAGAAAAGAAAAAGATGTATAAATTACAGGGTAGGTAAATCCAGGCACACGAATAATCGGGCAGCCACAGAAGTACGTCGAAAATCGTTCTGCATCAATTGTGGCACTCATTAGTACCTGCCCAGGTAGAAACGTCAATCACATCTGTTTGCGACTCTGAAAAGATAATAAGAAAAGGACATACACATTTAACCGAAAAAGAATACAGGAAAGATACTCACCAAACGCAGCTGGGGATACAACGGAAGCATGTCTCTGGCCACAACATCAACAAATCATCAGAAAGATGTGGGAATAAGATGTGGGAATAAAAACCAAGAAATTATGCAGCATGTATTTAATATTTACGCAACATGTATTTCTAAAATCCATAAGTAGTTAGTCTGATGAATATGGAACATGTTACTGTTAAAAGAAAAATAATCACAAGGAACTCGGCTAGCAAATATAAGATCATATTGAACACAACCATGGAGGACAACTTAAACAAGGCACCTGATTATTGTGAGCATGATATCAGAGAAGCGGTCCCTTTCATGAATTTCATCCTAAAGAGAAAACAAAGTGGCCATCATATAAACCCTTACGCAAAGAACTAAAAATATATGGGTCAATGAACAGGTCGATTTACAATATATTTCTTTTCTTCCTTTTTTTTTTAGGGACGGGGTAGCTTAATAACATGATATGAATAAGTTGAGAAACAGGGATTTCTTTTTTTTCAGGGGCATAGTGATTGGAAAAAGAAATAGTTTGGTTTCCCCTAAAGAAAGTAATATAATAATCATGAGAGACAGAAATTGATGAACGCATATAGATGCATTCTAAAGATAGCATACCACAATTATGTGGGTGATGCCAAAGTCGCTATTTGCTGATTTTTTTGACTTCTTCTTTCTGCCACTTCCTCTCCCAACTAAAATCCTCAACAAAATTCCATTGGTGCAGAACATGAGAGATGAGTGGCTCCCACCTTTACTCTCCAGCCTAATCTATCATTTTTTAAAAAGCAAAAAAAAAAAAAAAATGTATTAAGTACTCTAATATGCGTATGCAATGGTCGTAAACAAGAAAGGAGGAGTGTTTCATGAAATTATAATGACCTATGTATACATCCTGAGACAAATATATTGAGTCATCTCTAACATCAACTAATGAAAGAATTCTATTTAAAATGACATTATAGATGAAGCCAGCACTGAAACCAAGACATTCATTGGAAAAAAAGTACAGCAGTTGAGCAATTGCATTTATAAGGACTGAACTTTATTCAGCCCTCACCTATTGAATTTATCCCCACCTGATAATAACTTTTGACTACTTTTGAGCAGAAAACATTCTGGCTCATCCAACTATTTTGGCATCATGAACTCCTAGTGCGACAGAAACATTCAACTTAAACATAAAACCAAACACTTGCACAAAACTAAAATCCTAAAACATGTCTTCTGATCAGATAACATAAAAACACAAGAATCAAGATATATAGACAAGAATATTGCAGAAACAATTAGTCATAAACTAACTTTAAGAAATGCCATTTTCCTGCTTTTACCATGTCATGCTCCCGCATATAAATAGTGATACATTGGCATTTCCTAGGTTTTGTATCGATGAAACTGAAAGTAATTTTTATATTTACATTTTTCTAATGCTTCTGACATTTATTCTCAATTATTCTATTACTTTACGCAGAATAAAATCTGCAAAATGCAGGACATAAGAGATGCTGACAGTCAACAGATGGGAGCAGCGTGAGAGATGTTGTACTTCACAATGTCCAGAAAACAAGTCATATAAGCATGTACTTTCTAAAATTGGTCAAGAAAAGAAAAGACAGAATAAAAAAAAACTTGATAATTTGTTGCTAAAGACAAAACAACCATCCAATAACTGGCCATTTGGTCATGTACTAGTACTACCTTGTATCCAACAGAATCGCCCAAATTTTCACCTCGTTCAGAAGCAATTCTTTCTGCCACTGCACTTGAAACATGTAGGTGTAAACTCAGATTTGAAACTCAATAAAAACAATGAATATACAAATACACATATTCAAGATAGAGACAGATTACGCCACCTGATGTGGCAGAGATTCGTCTCGGCTGAGTACAAACTATTTTACATGGCTCTCCTTTGCTCCATGAATGATCAAGAAGAAATTGCGGGACCTAAATTATTTCATCGATATAAGATTCCATGTGTCATAATGCTTGGAACCAAAAGATTGAAAGGGATTGTGCAGGACTTCCACCTGGGTCGTTTTCCCGCATCCAGTTTCACCACATATGAGCATCACCTGTTTGGCAGAAGATATTATAATCAATACCTAAAATCTGAACTCATTAGAGGTCGTATCGGGATGGTAACTGAAATGAAGGAAGAGATTCATCCTCCAACCCCCAGAGCCATTACTTAACCATTTGGGCATTTTCTACAAGTATTTAAAAAGTCACAATCGTCCATATTATGCAATTCAGTACGCAAGGGAAACGTAATAGCTATATACGCAAATATTTCTATAGTAGCTAAATGAGGTCACCTGATGAGATTCCATAGTAGATGTGATAGAATCCCTAAATGATGCAATGGGAAGTTTGGACCTCTCCTCTGTGATCTGCAATACATGAACACAACTACTTGCAATTTATCACACAAATACCACACACACACACATATGTATATATGATTAGTACGAGCAGATTCTCACCTGTCTCAAGTCTGCGGATTTCTCTATTCTGGAAGCAAGGGATTCCACCTTGCTTGCAATTTCAGATTGAGTCATTGCAGGCTTACAGAACATATCATCTTTGAATGCTTGTACTTTGCCATTTATTCCACTACTTTCTCCAAATTTATTTTCTGCCATCTCCAAATCATTAGGAGGGTACTGAGAAAACAAATCCTGTAAAGCAGCTCTTGATTCTTCCGAAAAACTGAAGGAAGCAAGACGTTCCTTCTCCTTCAATAGTACTCCCTTTTTGTTCTTATAAATAAAAAGTCGACGTTGTTGCCCTTTCCTACAAGAATACCGATTATTAGCATAAAAAAATATAATAACTGAACTAATAGCTTAATTTTCGAGCCGTATATTACCCATAACTTTTTGACTGCATGCCCATTTTCCTGCATAAAGTATGCACTGCTTCTCGCTCCCGATTATTTAGGTTCTCTTCAAATTTGTAGACTGAAAAAATTGAGAGTTGACGGTACTTATTGTCCTTATAGGATTATATGTAATAAGACATGATTCAGAACAGAGCATATCAACATATAGAATACTATAGCTCCCTAACCATCCACTGCAGTAGGCCTATAACAATTTTGTTTGTTTACATTTCTAGTTGAAACCAATCATTTTTAACTATTTTCAAGCATTAGCCACACCAGCAAACAGCATAAAATCAATAATCGCACAGACCGCTTATGAAAATTCAATTGTCATCAATATTCATGGCTTTTTAGAAATTGCAGCAATCACCCAAAGTGCTGAACTACATAAGAGATGCAACTGAAAAGACTAGAGAAATGCGCATACTCAGAAAAAAGGCAGATGGGGAACACAAGCACGAGGAAAAACACACAAAAAACAAGCAATTTATTTTCTTCTACTTCTTCAACCATCAAATGTTCGACGAATAATGAAGAATGAACAGACATGCTTTGATCCTTTTGAAATGATAACAGAAACAAAAATCACTCACCATCATCTTTCGAATGCCTAAACTGTTCGAGAATATGAACAAATCGAATGCGATTCACTTCGGAGACATTTTCACTCTCCTGCATGAATTTTGGTTTCTTCTGCTTCTTCTTGGCGGCCTCATTAGCCATTTTCCCCTTCATAATTTCAGCTGCGAATTGAATTCACGATTCAACTGATCTTCCTCGGGTTCAAACAATGGACTCCTCAGTACAATTTCTGATGAAACGAGTTCGAACGAGATGAGAAAGGGGAGCTTTTACAACTGATAGACGCTCGCCTTCAAGGTCTCTGTAACCTAACAATGGCGGTTAGGGTTATGTGCGATTTTACCCCAATTTGATTTTCGTAGTCTCCCTCGCAAAATTAAAAAATATTTGATTTTCATCTCGTATTTCTTTTTTTTTTTGTAACGCAATCTGTCCGGTATCCTTATACACAAAAATTCTACAATCTATTTGTTCATAAAATAATTGAATATAAAACTAAAATATTTTTGTGATATCCGTAAATAAAGTTGTTAAATAAAATGAGTGGATCGTGAACTCCGTCCCGCTCAAATCACTAAAATTTGAGCTCAATTTAGTTTATTTGTCAAAATTCGAGCTTGTTTAACCCTGTATGGTTAACGAGTTGTGTCCGTTTAATATTTTTATATAAGTTTATATAGTTCAACTCGTTTAGAATCAACTAATTAACCGTGATAAACGAGCCAAAACCAAATACGTTTATTATTTTGACTCAATAAAGCTCGAACAGAAGCTCAACTCGATTCATTCACACCTCCAATCTCCAACAAGGCAAGAAGAAAAATTACTTTTTTTTTCAACTTACTTTCGAGCACCAAAAGCTCGCAAATCACTAGTTCTCAACATATGTTATAAGTGAATAGTTAGTTTGAACTTTGAATTGTGCACCTCATTAAAAATTAATAATTAGAACCCTAACTAAATATATAAAAAATGAAAAATAAAATTGATAAAGTAGAAAATATTTTTTTTCCTGTACTACTAATAGTAATTACTAGCTCTACGATAATGATTTTTGTGATACTTATTATTATTTTTTTTGTTGGGTTCTGAAAAGAAATATTCTCCTTTGAATTAATATTGTTATTGTTATTTAGTTGATATTTTTTTTTGGGCTCTAAAAAGAAATACTCTCTTTGAATTTATATTGTTATTTTAATGATATTTTGTTTGTTGGGTTCTAAAATGGAATACCCTCATTGTTAGTGTGGGTGTAGGTTTAATTTGTAAACTAAAAGTTGGGACATATATTACACAATGTCTCATGTTATGTTTCTTCAACCTAAAACATAAACAAAATCCCTCGAAAAATATTGTGGCCGAACTTTTTATCTAAAATTTGTTTGTGTGGTTTTACTAGTGTGGAAGGTGAGATATATTTTTAATGTGCTTCGTAATGGGTTCATATAAAGTATGATTTGTGATGTTATTGTTTCAAATATTCAAGCAATTGTCAAATTCAAGATTCCTTCTCTAAAAACATCTCAGCGACACACAAGATAACCCTAAATTTCATAAGATAATCCAAACAAATATCCCAAAATGCTAAAAAGTTCACTTGAAAATTATTAAATTCGAGCAAAGTTAAAATCAACATGGCGTGGTCCTATAAAAATGTCTGGAAATTAACAAATTTGCAGTGAGAATAGAATTTACATTGAAAAAAAGAAATCGAAACAAGATGATCAGAAGCAATGTTGGTGGTTTTTTCTTCCCTAGTTCAAGCCTCACCGTTGCAATGGTGGACCCCGTTGCTATTCGTCCCGTTGTAATTCATATCCACCTGATTTAACCCCCAAATACGTATCGTACGGTCATCACTTGCCGAGGCCAGCATATGAGGGTTAGCCGGATTCCAGCTAACACAGTTCACAGCTCCCGAGTGCCCAGCCAACTTTAGAATGAGCTCACCCGATAGCCTGTGCCATATACAAACCTACAAATAGCATCTCGGTTATTACCATTTTTGTGCAGCAAAAATGCATGTTCCCTTCGACTTAAATAGAATAGTCAAGAAAAATAGTGGCACTAAAAATAGTTTAAACCAATTACCAGGAAAAAAAAAACAAAAAACAAAAAACAGAACAAACAAACTAAGGCGCATATGTACAGAATAGTTCATTTCATTAACCTGCGAGTCCTCACTTCCACTGGCGATAAACGCTTCATCTAACCCACCAAAACACGACCTCACAACAAAACGTGCACGTTTGTGACCTCTGTACTTAGCCACCAGCTCAGTGGCCCCATCGACACTCCAGACGTGAAGCTCTTCATTTAAAAGGCTGACGAGCAAAAACTTGTTGTTTTTCGACAGCGAAAAGGAAATTATTGGATGATCCTCCTCGATAAATCTCTCGGTTTTTGTTTCCCATTCAAACAGCAAAATAGCGTTTTCTTTACAAACCGTCACGAGCATTTTCCCGTCCATAATCACGCCCAAATCAGAGATCTTAGTAGTCCTCTGCCCTTTCCAGCAATCCAGCTCGTTTCCCTCGAGGTCCCACATGATGATGCTCTTATCAGTTGCACCTGAAAATATGGTTTTCGAGTGTGGGTCCCACGCGCAGGAGACCATACCCACTCCATTCTTTTGATACGTACACAGGCACTCTCCCGAGGCCACGTCCCACATTTTAATAGTCTCTTCTAATCCGCAAGTGAGAAGTTGATTATTATCAGGACTCCATGAAATATAGGAGACGGGTTTCTCGTGGCCGGAAAATTCGTATTTCATAAAAACATGGCCATCGGCCGAGACCTGAAAAAAATCATAAATGGAAAAACTCACGCCTGCAGAATAATCCATCATTTACAATTACAAAGAAAAGCTTTCCATTCAACAATAGGTGAAAACCTAACATAACTAATAAAGGAAAAAAAAAAACCAAAAGACGGGGCAGAATTACCTCCCATATAACGACAAGACCGTCACCAGATGACGAGGCCAAGTATTTCCCATCGTGAGAAAATTGCAGGAACCAGACTTCATTATTGTGTTCTTTTAGTATCTGGAGGGACCAAACGATAAACCATATAAATCAACAGTACTTTAAGAAATTGGCAGCTCTTGAGGATGTTACACTAGAGGATATTCTGCTGATTTATCAAGAGTCATATGTCTCAAGAAGTTTGTTGATCTGTTTTAGAAAGATCATATCATCAACATAATAGAACATTTTTATTTTTTTCATATCTGGAAGGTTCAAACTGATTATATGCCTTGTTTTGGAAAAGAACCATCAGTTTAGTCTATCATACTTGAGCATCACCAAAGCATAGACAGAAAAAAGAGAGGAGAAAAACTTCGGTCAACGGGTGCAGATCGCATTTCTGAAGATTGTACAGTTACCGAAAAGATGATCCTATATGTTTATATATTTCTCAATACTGTTGAACACATTCCTACTTTTTGATAAGTCTCTATTCTCTATTCTAAATAAATGCAGTCAGTTTGAGAACATTATCATAAATCCCGATGAAACAGCTCACTTAGCACATCCCTGTATATTTAATCATGGTTACACCAATCAACTCAAAATATCTACACGAGCAAGTTAAGTGGATGTGTAAAAATAGGTAATGTGTTTACAATGTTTGCTTTTGGTTATAAGAATGCAATCATGTGGTACTCATCACTTCAATAGCTAACCCCACCACCCAAAAAAGAGACAATACAATTCTACAACCTTGAACTAAACTTTCTCTAGGAAACAGAAACTCAAAAGCTGATCATGACCAGATATTATTAGAAAAAAACATAACTTTGCAATCAATAGCAGAAATGTTTCTATTTCCATATGTTACAATAATATTTCTTTTCATCTCTGTCTTCAACCTATTGTTTCTCGTTTTTATTGCTAATGAATTCTACTAATTAATCCAGGCCATTGTTCGAATAATGAATAAATAAAAAAATAAAAAAAAAAACACGCACACACACAATGATACTACCAACACATAGTTCTCACTATCTTATCAATAAAACATAAAGAATAATAAACTAGCAGAACCTGCAATGTCTGGGAAGGAATGTGGTCCCTTCCACACTTGTGATCAGCCAGCAACGACATTTTCCCGACCGAAGAATTGTGAAACCTGCAAGCACCCTTCTGCAAGACGAGGGCCTGTTCAAGAAGATGCACTAACCTATTCTCCGGGATCATCAATGCTGGTGGAAGTATCTCACGCAATTTCTCCAGCAGCTCTTTACGTGACTCCTTATCTTTAATTCCATCAACTAAATTTCTTGGCGGGAACAAAACAAACGAGGCAAGCTCCCTCACCCTCTCGTGGTTCACACCGAGTGAGGCTATCTCAGTCCTCAGAATCCTCAAAGCATCCATGGTTTTCCCTCCACCCAGAAGCTCAAAGAATTTCTTCTCGAATATGAGAAAAGTCGCTAACTTAAGAGCCTTCTCATCGGCCAAGCCCATCTCGCGCAACATGGAGACACTTTCATCCCATTGGCCCTCGAGCACTTGATACATGAACAGCTCCACTGCAGATGAGTGCAGTGGGATCCCGGATTCCTCTTCCAGGCGGGCCCCGGACTTGGAGTAGCCGAGAGAATATAGTGCCTCGGCTATAATCCGGACAAGCTCGACTTTTCGAACGACCCCATTTTGACCCACAACCTCTTCATTGTCCTGAGAAGCTAAAACGCGAGCCATCGAGCGCCTTGACGAGCAACTGCCTTGTTCTCTAAGGGGCAACCTGTTTGAAGGACCTTCAGATGATTCTCCGGAGAACACTTTCACACGTTTTGTGGGTGGCTCATTGTCCTCTACACCTCCCATGAAAAGCACACTTCAGCCCATATATTTATATACCCGAAATGTCACTGCAAAGAGTACTGAGTAGTGGTATTTCTTGCCAAGCACTCAGATGAAATATTCTGTAAATAGCAAAGAAGGGTTTTAGCAGCAAATACTCAATCAACCCACATAAATGTCGATCACCAGAACCTAAACTAAAACCCATTACGCATCTCAAATAAAAAACTAAAACCCAACTGGTAAAAAACAGTATTTGAACTTCCGTTATCACAATCAAACCCACATATTTTCACAAGGCAACTAAAGTGAAACAAGATGATGAAAACTAATCAGACCGAAAATCGATCGCTCACTTTAATCAATTAAGAACAATAGTATCCAATCGGGACGATGCTTCATACCCACGTTTGGCACCCAATCGAGCAACCAATCAAACCGAGTAAAATCAAAACTTTACTAATTCTACCAAGTGGGCACACAAATCAGATGGACAATAATCATGATCAAAGGCAAAGCGCGATGAAAAAAGGACTTAACCGAACCAAACCTCGCCACGAACAGGGATGAAGGTGGGACAGAGAGCACCGCAGAGACTTGGAGAAAGAAGGATCCGAAATTACAAAATCCCTATTTATTTTGATGAGATGAGAGGAAATTAAATAAATAAATGTTATATAACATACTTATCCCAACATTCTTAAATAAAGATTGTTTTGTTCCGTAATTATACGTATCTTAACAACTAATCCTAATTTTAAGTGAATAACTTTTATGCAATTGATCTTTTGCTATTTCGAATTACAAGGATACCGGAAAATTTCTTTAACAATATGAGACGATTGTCCAAGAATATTGATAGAAGTAAAATATAATAACAAGAATAAAGAGACAAATATATGTATTATTATGTGCTAAGAATATTGATAGAAGTAAAATATGATAACAAGATTAAAGAGACAAATATATGTATTATTATGTGCACATTTAATAATGGGAGTTGATGATGTTTATCTTTTGTGATTACACATTTACAGTAACTTATTACAAAGATATAATAGATAATTTATAATTAGAGTTTGAAAAGTATCACTTACATATTCATGAAAATGAAAAAGGATTTATGGAGGAGAAATAAAAGATAAGCATGGGAGTTCTCTAGAAAATATTTGTCTTTCATAGAGTAAGACAACAGTTTGAGACTAAATTACATGTTTGAGATGGATTAGCAGTTTGACATGTGAAATCTCCAATTTAATATGGTAAATAACTACTTGAAATAGGTTTCTGAATCTAAAATGTCCTTTTTTTTAAAAAAAAAAAACCAGTATAAGAGCTCTTTCTAGAATAGAGAAATGTAAAATTTATTAGTTTTTATATGTCATACATATATATATTATTTATGTGTGAATTAGTTGATTAAAGGTGTTATAATTCTATATGCTATCAATTAGTTGTATCCAATTCAATAACGTTCATTTTAGTCTCTCATGTTAGGATATAGAATATTATTTAAGGAAAGGAACGTGGGATTCAAGGTTAGAAACAATTTGGCTGTTGCAAACATTTTGAAACACTCATATAAACATTCAATGAAAAAATGGCCAGGTTTAAGGGATAAAACTAAAAACCCCTTTGTGTTTTTCTACCTCTAAGGCCTGCATTTGAGATTGGGTTGGGCAAGGCTACAACTGCTAAAAGACAACAAGCCGTTTGTCATGCTCGACTTCGTTAAAAACTCGTTTATAATTAACAAGTTGGCTCGACTCATTAACGTTTGAAAATAATTTTTTTAAATAATATTTTATAGTTTGGCTCGTTATGGTTTGAGCCGACTCGTTAATGTTGATAAACAAGTCCAGGCGAGCTCAACTATTATTGAGTAATGAAAAAGAAAGTCGAGGCAACACCAATTTTAGAGAATTGATGAAATAGGCCTACAGGCTAGAACACACTATTGCGTGTAATGAAAAAGAAAATTGAGGCAGCCCAATAGTAATTTGACGGCACAACATGATTTATATTGAATGGACGAATCATAACACGAAATAAATTTGTGATGATTTAATGGTGTTTTTATAAGATATACAATTTATAGTTCTTCATGAGTTCTTAACTCTATTTTGCTTTCTCTTTTTCACAATTTTTATTTTTTATTTTTTCATTTGTATTTCCTTCTTCATGAGTCGTTTTATTTTTATTCTGTTATTACTCATTTTCATATATATCCTTGGCATTTCCTGTTCAGTGTGAAGGAATAATTAAGAGTTTGGTTTATTGTAATCATACTTGATTTTGTGTTGATAAAATTTCCATTGCCAAAAATAAAATTTTAAAACATCAATTGTTTCGATTACTTTGTTTTTGGTGTTTATATACTCAAAACAAATTCTTGCCAACAACTTAATTATCGTATTATATTAGCTAAATTGCACCAACACTCATACCATTAAAAAAAATTGCATACTTATACTATTAATGTCATAGTAAAGAGTATAAATTCGTATTTTATAAGTTAAATTGCATACTTATATTATTAATGTCATATTAAAGAGTGAATTCGTATTTTACAAGCTAAATTGCATATTATTGAATGTTATACTGCCAATGAACTGCATAGTATTTTAAAAATTTAATTTGAAAATAAATTCTAACTTATTTTGTTTAGTGCAACAACTAGTTATCGGATAAAATATGAAGACGATTGGTGAGCGAGCGTTATCGGATACCTGCGGTCACCGAGCATGCATGTTGCGACTAGCAGCACAAATTAAATGCTCATCGTTTCATTTGGTGATAACCTTGAAAATTTTGTGTATTTAATTTTGTGCTTTCGTTTATTTCTTGAGGTACAAACACGACAAGGTTTGCTAAAATTTTTGTGTATTTAATTTTAAGTTTCACTATATATAACATGAAAGTCGCTAGCAGAGACAAATTAATCGGTGGATCATCAATATTTTCATCTTACGATCGACTTTGTTTTATTTTATTTATGGTCATTTATCAAGTTCAAGTTCATTAATTTCAATACATTGTTTGTGGCAATTTCATGCAAAACCAAGCAAATACACGTGTTAACAAGTAGGAGTAACACACAACGTACTCTTTAATTTGATTAATTTACAGTGTTGAAGTCCACAGGCTTGTCTGTTGGATTTCTACATTTGGTATAACATTTTTTGTCTCTCAGCCGCCTCTTCATTTCATTTCCTCAGATATATAACTTTTTTTTTTCTTTACTTTTTCTGTTATTGCAGCCTTGCAGGAGGCACTGCTACTACCTTCTCTCTTAAACCGTTTCTCTCTCTTAATTTGTCCATTTGCATTATTTTTGTGAAAAATGCTATTTGTTTGCAGAATGACTTTTATACCGTCTCTCTTTATTTCTCTCTCTTAAACTTTTAATTTGTCCATTTGCATTATTTTTGTGAAAAATGCTATTTCACAATGCCAAGTCAGAGTCCCTATCTTATATTAGAGGAAATCAAAAGCCATGATCAAAAATCATGATCAAAGCCAAGCCGATGAAAAAAGGATCCGAAATTACAATATCCTTATTTATTTTGGTGAGATGAGAGGAAATTAAATAAATAAATGCTATACGTACATATCTCAACACTCTTAAATAAATAATTTTTGTTGTATAATATTCGTATCTTAACAACTAATCCTAATTTTAAATAAATAACTTTTAATGCAATTAATCTATTGCTATTTCGAATTACAAGGATACGGGAAAATTTCTTTAACAATATGCGACGATTGTCCAAGAATATTGATACAAGTAAAATATGATCACAAGATTAATAAAGAAACAAATATATGTGTTATGTCAATATCTAATAATGGGAATTGATGATATTTATCTTTTGTGACTTCACATATACATATGTAACTAATTATAAAGATACAATAGATAATTATAATTAGAGTTTGAAAAGTATCACTTACATATTCATGAAAATAAAAAATGATTTATGTAGGGGAATTATAAGATAAGCATTTCTTTAGAAAAATATTTGTCTTTCATATAGTAAGACAACAGTTTGAGAATGGATTACATGTTTGAGATGGATTAGAAATTTGACTTATGAAATCTCTAATTTAATATGGTAAATAACTACTTGAAATAGGTTTCGGAATTCAAAATGTCATTTTTTTTTTAAAAAAAAAAGGTCAGTATAAGAGCTCTTTCTAGAATAGAGAAATGTAAAATTTGTTATTTTCATATATCATATAAAATTTGTTATTTTCATATATCATATCATATATATATATATATTATTTACCAATTAATGTGTATTAGTTGATTGAAGTTGTTAGTTCAATAAGCTATCAATTATTTGTATCCAATTCAATAACCAATATAGTCATGAGTCATTTTAGTCTCTCATGTTAGGATATAGAATATTGTTTAAGGAAACGAATTTAGGAATCAAAGTTAGAAACAATTTCGCTGTGGAAAACATTTTGAAACACGCATATAAACATTCAAAATGGCCGGATTTAAGAGATAAAACTAAAAGCTCCTTTGTGTTTTTCTACCTCAAATTAAAATAGTTTGGACCTGAATTTGAGATTGGGTTAGGCAAGGCTACATTTGTTAAACGAAACGAGTCGTTTGTCGAGCTCGAGCTCATTGAAAGCTCGTTTATTTCACGAGCCGACTCGGCTCGTTAAGGCTCGAAAATAAATTTTTTAAATAACATTTTATAGTTCGGTTCTTTATTGCTCGAGCCAACTCGTTGGTATTGATAAACGAGTTCATGTGCTCGAACTCGACTCGGCTCGGCTCGTTTACATGCCATAGGGATGTGTAAGTAGCAACGCCATCTGGCAATTTTTGAAAACTAATGAAATAGGCCTACAACACACTATTGCGTGTAATGAAAAGAAAATCGAGGCAGCCCAATAGTATTTTGATGGCACGACATGATTTTATATTGAATGGACGAATTCTAACATGAAATAAATTTGTGATAATTTTAATGGTGTTTTTATAAGATACAATTTCTAGTTTTTTCACAATTTGTTATACAATTTATTGTTGTATTTCTTTCTTCACGAGTCGTTTTAGTTTTAATCTGTTACTCCTTACATATTATTGGCGTTTCCTGTTCAGTGTGAATAAAAATGTATTTTATAATTTTATATATTACATATATGATATAATATATAAATATGGATATATATTAAGTATTAAATAAAACAACTTGTATGCTATGAAAATAATAAAAGGTCAACAAAACACGAACACGAATTTGTCCAACAATTTGAACACGAATAATTCGAATAGTTCATGAACAAGTTGGACTATATGAACGAACTAACACGAACATGTCGAACCAATAAACGAACAATCACGGCCGAAATTTTTTGTTTGTATTTTAGACGAACGAACACAAATTTGTTGGAAAATTAGTCAAACTCGAGCTCGAAAACCTAAAGCTCAGTTCGGTTATATAACAACCCTAGACACACAATATATATGTACATATATTATGTACTAACTCATTAATTTGATATAATTCAAATTTTTTGTTATATATTTTTGGATAATCAAGTCATCAAGTGTGACACCGGGAAAAATCCGTTATTTTTTACCCGTGGACCCCACCGTAGTGGCGCAGTGCCACTGGCAGATTCTTTGCGGTGAACACTCGCACTGTTTTCCCTTCCCTCTTCATTCTCTGGTTTTTCTGCAACACTTTTTTTTTTCGGTACTCTTCTTCTTCTTCCTTCATATTCATCATCATCAGTTCCTTTGGTTTGCAATTATAAGAACACACAGCAGTTTTTTTCGACCCCTTGCCCAATTTCAGGTTCTCTTAGATGTTTACGTGAAAAGTACGTACTTTTTTAGTGTAGGTAGCTTGTTTTTGGCAATCTTTGATGAGAAAGGTTCTTCTTGACTCTCTTTTGGATNAATGTCGGACATACACCTAGCTGCTCCTTGATTTTCTCTTTCCAATTCTTAAAAAATCATATGCAACTTTTTGTATTCTGGACGTGTGTGTGTGTTTTTTAATTCTAGTGAACTTCATGTTTCAAATTTTAGGAATTTACAGCCTTTTATTTTTCCCCTACTTTTTTGTTGTTTACAGTTTTCACGATGAAGTGTACGTGCGTCAGTTTGATTTCTGTTTTTCCTTTTTTTTTCTTTTTTTTCATTTTCACTACCATTTGAGCTTTTACTCCAAACTTTTCACTATATGTAAATTTTGATGATTTTTGTTGCCTTTTTATTTTTTTTCGATTGTTGTTTAATTGTTTTGCAGTATAGTCTGAACTTTCACGGAGAGAGCCGAATTTGTTAATCCAGGTACGTTCTCTCTCTCTTCATTTTCTCTCTCCTCATTAAATAATGTCTTGGCTCAAAAGGCAATTAGAAGTTTAGAACTATTCAGTCTTCTTTTTGCATTTAATGTTTAAATTATGTTACTATCTGCTTCTAATTCAGTTGTTATATTTATGTATGTTTCTAGTATCATTGTGAAGTTGATCTTTAAATTGGCACAAATAATAACATATTTTTTTAAAATTATTTGGAAACATATGCTCAGGTGACATTGATCACTAGACAAATCCAAATGAAGGACGAGCTGGAAGCCAAGTCGGAAATATCAGAAAAAGTATCCGAACTCACTGAAGATCTGAAGGAGGAGGTGGCGGAATTGAAGGCCCGTTGTACGGAACTCGAGACTGAAAAAAACCGGACTAAGGAGCAAATAGTTGAGCTGAAGGAGGAGGTGGCGGAATTGAAGGCCCGTTGTACGGAACTCGAGACTGAAAAAAACCGGACTAAGGAGCAAATAGTTGAGCTGGAAGAGTCGTCCCTGTGCAAGTTATCTGAGAAGGATTATGAGGTGGCGGAATTGAAGGCCCGTTGTGCGGAGCTCGAGACTGAAAAAAGTCGGACTAAGGAGCAAATAGTCGAGCTCGATCAGATTCTTAAGACTGAAGAAAAAAAGACTAAGAAGCTCAAGGAGCAAATAGACTTGCTGGAGAATAACCGAGACAATTTGCTGGCCGATTTTGAGAAAACCAATCAGATGGCTTCTCAAGTTGTGACCGAGCTGGAGGTTACTAAGCAAAATGAAAAATCACTCGAGACGAAGCTTAGTTCGGTGGCCAAAAAGCTTTCAAATACAGAAGCTAGTTTCAATGCAAAGGTAATATAAGGTTCAACCGGCTATGCATTTCGATATCATAAACTAAAGGTTTCTGATCCTATTTTCTACTGATTTTGATTTTGCTCAGAAAACTGACTTGGAGAATAAATTGAAGAAGAACCAAGAACTGTTGGAAAAAGAGGTAAGTGTTTTTCTTTTTTTGACAAAGTTGAGCAATTGGATATATAAATTGACTAAATCTATCTTGCTATTGCTTGAAAACAGGAGAAATTGAGCTCCCAACTACAAACTCAAGTGAATGTTCTTGACAGCCAAGTGAATGATCTTAAGGAGAAGTTGCACAAAAAGGTTAGCACAAATTATCTAATCTTTCAAATATTAAAATCACTAAATGCATTAATGTGAACATGAAAATAAATTTGGCAACTTTTTTCTTTATTAGTTTTTAAGTTTACAGCACCATTTTAAATCTTTCTCATTTAATTAGAATGGATTGTGTTGGCAAAATGAGTATTTAACCATTGAATAGTTAGAGACTAAAGGATAATTTGGGCAATCTATTTCTTATTTCTGTAAGTACAGAGCCTTTAGGATATAGTGACTGAGGGATATTTGGGCAGTCTATATTTCTGTAACTATAGAGCCTTATTAAGATATAGTAATAGTAACTCTGAATAAATAGTAGATTGATTAAGGGTTATTTTTGGTCTAGTGATGTAGTACAATGTATGAGCTCATGAATTAAAAATAAATGCCATAACAGGCATTCTTATTCATTCTCAAACCCATGATCGGTATAAATTTAAAATTACCGAGACAATTAACTAAAAATATTAATCCTTCAATTTGATCATAATAAACTAAGTTCACTGCATCAACAAGTCCCATTAGCACATTCCCATATAATCCTTTGTAAAAATACTATAGCAAAATTAAATTAAATAGTCCATGTGAATTTGAATAATCTCCTATATGAAAATACACAACTCAGAAACCAATTGAATCTATAAGGCAAATCATTAGATAATAACTAAACTTTCCCAATAAGACCAGGCACGATTGGAGTTCAAAGTTAAATAACTGAACTGAGTGAATAATTGCTAATCACTTCTTAGGCGAGAGTTTTAGTAGCTTTATTATTTCATAAGTTCCGGCATCTCTACCAGAGTAAAGACAAAGATCTAGGGCTGTGCATCCGTTTTGAGAATAAAATTTAAAGATAAAGTTAGTTAGATGTTCAGATTTGAACACTTATAAAAGAGAAAAACGACAAGTTAGATGTAGATGTTTTGAATCTATACAAACTCGAGCATATCATTCATGGGATGATATTCAACAGCTAATTTCTTATGAAATGTAAAGTTTTGTAAAGCATCGGGCATTGTGCCCGCCTTATTGAATCTAACTATCTAAGTGAGCTAATATGAAAAACTGAAAAATAAGTCCTTCCCTTAATAATCTAATTGGGTAACATGATAGCACCTGCACAACAAAAACCTCATTTTCCAGAATTGCTGAAACATACCAACTTACCACCACCTTAATCCAAAACCAACAATTTTCTTTTAAGTTAAATGTAACTCAAAAGGTCTATGGGTTTATGAGCCAACCAACCAATCACTCACATTCCATTCCTTAACCCTTCTTCAGAACTTCTGGAGCAATATAATCAGTTGTGGCAACAGTTGAATAATCATGCATCAACAAAATGCCATATAAGAAATCCAGAAAAATAAATTAATAAAATGAAATATATACAAAAGAGAGAGGTGACTCCCCCAGAGTGCTTAAGGTTCATCACTGCAATATTACAACATAAACAATAAGTCAGAGAGCACAGCTATCCAACTAAGATGTGTTACAGCCGGTGAATTCTGACTTCATATCATAGTATTATACTACCAGCGTAAATCACATGGGCATTCAGCAAAACCTACAGGTTTTCTCCAATTTTTCTGCCAAACTCTGTAGTTGCTCTTGTTGTGCATGTTTTGGAACCGAACCATCCTCATTCCTCACTTCTTGAAGTTTCATTATGGTAATCTCTGACTCAAAAGACTTCTTGTATAGCACTGCTCTAGAGGCTTGCACAGGCCAAAATTTGATAATCGTAAATGACCATGTCTATCAAGCAGGTTTAACATCTCTGTACCAAATCAAATGTAAAAGTTTTAAACAAGAAATATAAACTCCTTCAGTCAATATTTTGATGCAAATGCAAAGCACATGGATATACCTTTGCTTTGCCAATAGGATGAAAAAAACTGGAATCAAGATCTTCAACTAAAACAGAAAAATCGACCATAACTGTACAACAAGGTATATACATGCAAAGAATTAAACAATAGATGATCAAAGATCGTCACCAAAATAATAAATGTCACAGTAATAGTACTTACAAGTTACAACAATGTATTTTCAAGGAAGACGGCAGGATCTGGATGCCTTATTTCAGCTCTAAGCAGACCACGAGCATATTCAGAGAAGAAATACAATCAGAGACTCCCTTAGGGTGAGAGAAATATATTTTCCACCATCCTTTATCAGCCTTTTAACCTGATAACAAAAGAGAAGGTGCTTAGAGAGGTTCAGAGCATCAAACTATCAACACGAAGATCCCAGTTAATATCACTTTAATAAGACTATCATACACCTCATATAGATATAGATTTCCTAATCTAGATCCATACTTGAGCTCCATCAAAGCATCCAATCCACCCTTGCCAACAATGATATCTAATGCCTCATCTGCAAATTGAAACCAAAGTAGAGAATTGTTAGGAAAAAAAAAAGCATGTAAAGAAGACAGCTACACTTATAAATGAGTTCTTTGACAAATGTTGAAATATATGATGGAATAGTACTGGCTGTAGTGTTCCTAGCATCAAACAGAAACTACAAACCAAAATTTCTCAAATTTCATCACTTTTATTTGAAAGCATAAGCAGTTCAAGGATGATGTGCACCAACGACACTGGAGTCGTCAACAAGATCTGTGTACTACAAAGAAAATGATTTAGCATCATTTCCAGACAAACAATTTCCTACTTTACCCACTTACCTTGCCCATCAACTTCCCCCAATAAAGTTATCACAAATTACAATATAAAACATAGGCACTGTTCCCCCAATTTATTACATTTTACGATACAAAATAAAAGAGAGGATTAGATCTCCCTACTGCAATTATTCATGAGTGTATCTTGGGTTTACAGTCTGGTACATAGAAACATAAGAGGAGCATTATTCAAAACAAAGAGCATGACACTTGGAGTCTTGGATTGATTAGACCTCAAAGAAAACGTAACCTAAATCCTCTTTCATCTATTTTCATTCTGTTTTTAGTTATAGGGATAGAATTAAGTTTGGACACTAGAAGCAGAAAACTAAAGGCTAACTGACATAAATAATTCATTATTAACAATAGCACTTTAGAGATGCAATAGGACAAAAATTCCAGATTCATAGTGGAAATCAGAAAATGCATCAATATTCAAACTATCTCCAAAAATAAACGAGGAAGGGAAGATCCATTATAAAATTGGATAACTTACTAAATCCCAATGGTGCAGAAAAGGATTCATCTAATGAGCAATGAAGCACATCAGACGTACTATTAATCACATGAAGTACTTTTGTGCTTCTATAATGACGCGTCAATTTGGTACCTCTTAATCCACTACACGTGACTTCCACGACACATTGTTGCACAAACAATTCAGGATCTTTTACTTTATATTTTAAAGTAACAAGTCATGGCCTTGCAGATGATACAAGTGGCTGAAACTTATCATCACAAGTTTTGAAATCACACGTGCACTCAGCACCAAAATAAAAAAATGAGACTAGCATCATAATCTCATATTCAAGCAATCCTTTACTTTGAAGTACATTTGCCCACCTCTCCACAAATCTCAGCTAGTCAAGTTGACAATAATTCTACTGTACCTTTTTTGTCGCAAATGACAGCCACAAGCCTACAGTAAAACAATAGCATTATTTAAGTAACCTGTTGCCAAAAATCAAAGTCCAATGGGCCACCACAAGGAAACAATAACAGTTTGCCATTGATTTTCTCTCTTAACTGAATAAATTCTTCTAGGTATTTTCAGAAACATTTCAACAAATAGCCTTTCAGCATAACACTCCATTGGTCACCAGTGTCATTAATATCACTAAATTGGAACCACAACGCAACAACATAATGTAGCAATCATAATACCTTCATACACTACCAAATACTCATACTTAAATTGCAACTTCACAATGAACGGGCAGGATGAATCCAAGTTTAGCCGGGTGAGCATATTTTATACTTCAATTCCCTGTCGGGCTTTGGCCCTGTGTGTCCCCTTTGAGGTGCGGTTAGTTTGAGGACGTATTTAGTTGGGGTTATAAGAGAAACTACATAGTGCAATGAAGTTATCGCAAATTACAATATAAAATATATGAACTCCTCCCACGACAAAGTTATTATATTTTATGATACAAAATAAAAGAGGAATAAAACTCCCTACAACAATAATTCATGAGTGTATCTTGGGCTCACAGTCTGGTACATAGGAACATAAGAGGAGCATTGTTCAAAACAAGGAGTATGAAACTTGGAGTCTTGGACCAATTAGACCTCAAAAGACAACATAACCTAATTCCCCTCTTGTCTATTTTCATTCTCTTTGTAAAAGGTTCTTAGAGAAGTCCAGAGTTTCATTCAAACTACCAACACGAAGATCCAAGTTAATATAACTTTCAAATAAGAGTATTATACCCTCATATAAATATAGATTTCCTAATCTAGGTCCATGCTCGAGCTCCAGTAATCCAATCCACTCTTGCCAACAATGCCATCAAATGCCTCATCTGCAAATTGAAACCAAAGTAGAGAATTGTTAGGAAAACAGAAAGCAGGTAAAGAAGAGAGCTACACTTGGTAAAATTACAAATGAGTTCTCTGATAAATGTTGAGATATATGATGAATAGTACTGGCTGTAGTGTTCATCACTGGTAATTGAAAGCATAAGCAGTTCAGGGATGATGTGCACCAGCGGCACTGGAGTTGTTAACAAGATCTGTCTGTACTAAAAAGAAAATGATTTAGCATAATTTCCAGACAAACAATTTCCTACTTTACCCACTTACCTTGCCCATCAATTTCCCCCAATAAAGCTACCACAAATTACAATTTAAAACATAGGAACTCCTCTTCTCAAACCCAGGACATGAACCATTCCATGTTGCGTACACTGCAAAGAATACAAACTCAATTAACATAGTAGAACTTCTGATATGTTGTAGAAATTGGGTACCATCACCCTCTAAGTATATGAAGAATTGAAAGACAGTATCAAGATCTGAATGAATAAAAGTACATATTCATCCTGAGAACGTTGAACACCAACACCAGAAGCAACAGCTCGATCCTTTTCAAAGATGACCTTCTTTGGATTCGTTTCTGCAAGCTCACGTTGCTCTTCTAGTTTTGTCTCAGCCAAATTGGCCCTTTTCCTTTCTCTAGCAGCTCTCTGTTTCTCCACCTCAAATTTCTCTGCGGCTGCAATTGAAGAGTTCTCTGAAGCAAAAGTTGACTTCACTACATCAGTTTCTAGCTTTGCCTTTTCCAACAAGAGCCTCTTTCCTCAGCCTTTTTCCTTTCTCCGGCAGCAACTTTCTGCGCTTCATTAACCTTCTTTTTCTCCACCTCCACATTCTTCAAAGCCCCATCAGCTTTCTTCTTCTCCAACTCAGCTTTCTTTTTCTTTCCCTCTCTTTCTCCAGAAGTTCCTTCAGTTGTTTAATCTCTTTCTCAGTTGAATTAAAATATACTTGAGTTTTTTTAGATGCATCTAGAGGAGCAGAATTATGAGTCAGCTTCAGCGAGTGGATCTCTTCCTTTAGAGCAGACACTTCATCGACGGCCAGACTATCTCTTTCTCATCTTTCCATATATTATTAACTTCCAATTTGAGTTCCTCCAACACTGTAGAAGGAAAATACATTGAAGAAATTTAGGTTCGTCCTCCAGTGACCATTTACCAAATGCCTATCCACACAAAAACACGCAAAATAATAAAAACAAAAAACACCAGGCAATAATAACAGTAAGTAATAACATGAAGAAATCAGGAAAAAAATGATGAAGAATGCAATATCTACCTTTTGTGAGAACTCCATTTTCTTTCTCAATCACATCGTATTTTTCCTGTACCAACACGGTGCAACTGCAAAACTTGCTCTTAATTTCATCAAACTTCAAATACTTCTCCAAAATCTTCAAGTACTCCTTTTCAACTGCAACAACCCAAAATACATCATAATTCTACAACTTCTTCCACATTGCTTTACCACACAAATGAACAAAAAACCCAACAGCAAATGATAAACCATTAACCTGCACCACCGCCATATCTTCAAGATTTTGCTCTCAATTACTGATATTTAGGGAATCTAAAACCATTTGAGATTATGCTAACAACTATGCTGTAATATTATGAAAAGTCTTCTTCTCTATGTAGTTTTCTGTTCAGCTTGATTGGGTGTGCTTTAGAGTTGATCTTTGTTTAGAGGGAGTTCTGATGTTAAAGACTCTCCGTGATTTGGTTCTTTCGGTCAAGTCGCAAATAAGACGATCGTTCTAACCAAGAGTTTAATTAATAATATTTGATATAAAAAATAAAAAAAGACCATACTTGTTTTCGTTCCGCTCGCTCAATCGCAATTCAGGCCTCTGCACGTTAATTCCCGAGGACTTTCAGTTTCCATGGTGTTAGGGTTAATGAAGTTAGGCGGAGTTTAGGCTCTTCAGTTCTTCAATTTTAGAACAATGACGTTTTCTTTTGGGGAGGCGGGAGGCTACCGGTGGCTATGTTCTATTCCTTGGCATTGGCGGCGGCGTTTCGTCCTTCCAGACTCGTTTTGGTTTATATCTCTATTGGGGTTCTGCGTTGCGGGGTTGACTATGGTGTCTAATTTGGTGGTAATGCGTTTTGCCAGCAAGATTTAGGCAAAGGCCTGTATTTTT